AATCATTCTCTCTCGCATACTGATTCATTCACTTGCAGTTTCTCTCTCTCTCTCTCTCTCTCTGTCTGATACGGCTGGTGAACACCTAGTTACTTTCTATTGGATAGCGCAACGTTACAATTACATTAATTAATAAATCGTTATCGGCTATTTTCCTCCGTGTCACGGGTAAAGAAACTGCTTACGAAAACATTGTTAATCGATATACCGTCACGAAGCAACCAGAGACCGCCGGGTCCAACTACGTATCGCCTGTCCTCGGACACCTCTACGTATACGCCGGCCGTCGCTGGCCCTCCAATAATTTCATCATTATTCCGGACCGCTGATCGCGTCCATTCTCTCGCCTCGGTCGCGACTCTATATTAGCGCAATTCTTGTTTTCTCATTTTTTCCCCTTTTTTACAAAATAGTTCGATAATAATGTTAAGCTCTTTCACACTCGATTAGTGGACGCCTCGAAGAGTGTTTACAGATCCTCGACTCCGGTGGACAGTCGGACGTGTCACTGGAGCCAGGCAGCTGAGTTACTTATTTATTTCATTAATTAATTAATCAATTAATTCACGATCGGCGTTCTCCAGCGAGGCGTCCGCGCGGTTTTCGAATTACGTTATTACATATATTTATATATTTATAGATTTATGTATATATATATAGATTTTTATATATATATATATTAGATTAGATTATCCTAAGCGTTGCGTCGGCCAGGATCTCCCTGATAGGGTCGCTGATCCCAGCACCGACGTTTGGCCTTCTTTTCGTTCGCATGACTATACGAATGTCCGGCGACTATAATCGGAATGGTGCTCGTTGGTCGATCGGCGTCGGTTTACCCTTCCGTTGGGTGGTCGGTGTCGTCGAGACGGACGTGTCCGAGGCGCCTGACGGCTTCCTGGACAGCTTTAGGGATGGCGGCAGCGGCGTGCTCGATCCGCTGGACGGTGTCCTCGTTCTGTAGAATTATTTCCTGTTATTAGCTACCGTCTCGTCGGGCCAACGAGTCTCAAACTTGCGATACAGAATATTTAAACTTCACAGTAAGTAATCTGACGTTTCCAGTGAACATAGATCCGATATTCTACTGGAAGATTATCAACTGTTCAAGTTCCGATTGCAGGAGTTGCTGCCAAACGAATCGCAAGGCGAGGGGTTAATGCTTTTCGAAAGCCAATGTTTTGCTCGTGAGAATTCGAACCGGATAACAGATTACAGTTTGAGAAACGTTGTCTTAAGATAACGTTCAACGACGATCGCCGATCGCGATCGTTTCGTACGATCATTTACGCAGCCTGGTCGATACGGCGCGTTTGAAATAAGGGTCGCGTGGCCACCCCTTGGACAAGCGACAGAAAAAAACCCTCGACAGGAAACCAGAACAAAAAATAAACAGATCAGAAACCGAAACGATGAATTACCTATCTGGCTTGACGGCCGACGAGGTGTTAGTTGCTGAATTCGTACACATCGAGCTGCTCCTGATGTTAGAAAACAGACACGGCAATGGATTATTAACCCTTCCCAAGCGATGAGTTAGTTAATCTGTGTTTCAAATTAGGAGATGAGTGAAAGAAACGAGTAGGGACGCTTCGACGAAGTCAACGGAGCTTTCGCGTTTCTCGTTCACGACGGAACCGACGAATAGTTAGAGAAGATTCAAGATAAATGAAAAATATCAAGCCTTATCTGCTAAAAATAGAATCTCGGAAATCTAATAGAATATCAAGGTTGCTCTGAGGAATCATTTGAATCTTTAAACATAAACATAACTAAAAAAAATTATATATTATTATTATTATCATTAAATTACTATTTATTGATTATTTATTTAACTCTGAAACATAACGTTCTAAAAGATACTATTCCCCGAAAACATTTATCGACATAGAATTCACGGAAATACCCGCAAACTTTTTGCGAAAGAAACGAAGATAAAGTTGCTCCTGTCTTAACGTTGAATATCTTTGTAACCACGCGTTCCTCGTTCGTCGAAGCGTGTCATGTTAAACAAGCAAACGCAACAGCAAACCCAGAAGAGTAGGATGTTCTACAGTTTGGTGATCTACCAGGGATCGTGTCTAAAAGTTTGGCGAGAGGGAAGAGAAGGGGGTGGGGAATCGGTGGCATGCTTCCCACACAAGTGCAGAAATAGAGAAAGTAGAGAAGATAGAAAGCTAGCCTGTGTTAACAGCGGAGGAAACAGTTCGGCCATACCCGGTGGAATCGGTAGAAACCGTCGAGTCGTTGCTTCGCATGGAATGGGTGGATATATTGCTGGTCATCGATTGCGGGGATTTAATATCCGTGCCCACGTACACGGGGATCCTCGAGTGGCTAAACCATCACCATCGAATCATCAATGTAAGCTACCTCTGATCCATTCGACGATCAAACATTCGGACAATCACCGCGGGGGAACAG